CGCCGCGCGAAAGGGAGTCGGAAAGTTTGGCCTTAACCCTTGGAGGCCCGCGGGGCTCCCCAGCGGCCCCTCGCGGCTCATTCATTCCTCGGCACCCCTGAAAAGGAAGCCGGGTGGGCGGGGGCCAACTTTTCCTCCAGCCCCTGCTCCTGTGCCTTCCGCCGTGCTCTCGGCGAGGCTGGAAAGGCTAGAGAAATCCTTGCTCTGATATAATGTCGTCATCCTTTCTTGGTTTCTAAATTGTTTTTAATGGTTGTACGTGGCCTAGAGAGGCTTACATCATGGGGAATAGGCGATTTATAAATTATTATTATTATTATTATTATTATTGATAATGATAATGATAATAATAATTGCCACTGTTGAAGGCACAGGACCATTGCAGAGCTGAGGGAGGGGGGGATTCTTGGTCAGTTGGCAACTGTGGAAACCCAACCAGGGGTCAGAGGAGGCGAAAGCAGTCTGCCCGGTCTTCCTCACTTCTTTACTGACATTTTCAGAGGACCCGGGCTAATACTACGCCCGTCACACGTCTCCGTCGCCAGCAGAACGTTAGCGAAACTCGCCAGGCCTTATCCTGAACACAACATATTGAAGCATTTAGCATGATTAATGTTTTGTTTCTCTTTTACAGGCCAAACCTCTGAGCAATAATAAAGTCCGGGGTTGTTTTTTTCCCCTTCCCCAGAAATGAATGTCTCTCTTGTTTTCCCTTCCTTGGCTCACGTAAGAAGATGAAGCCGCTCCATCTTCTGTTGGGGGGGGCCTCACGTCTCTCCGTGGTGCTTTTTTAAAAGGGATTTTTAAAAGGGACTCTCTGTGGTCCACCCAGCTATTTTTGCATTTCCTGGTCCAGAGCACAGGACCTCTACGGCCTAATGCGCTGCTGCCATCAAAACTGGGCCTGGCTGGATTGGAGTAAGACCTGGTGAGAATTCCAGCGGCCAACAGGCCAGGGCTGACCTCTGAAACTCCGTTTTAAAGTCCCGCCCTTTTCCCAAGGAGCTTCCTTCTTAGGGCTGCCCTCCTCCAGGTGGAGCCTGGAGCAATGTTCCCTCTAAGCTGTGGAGTCTTGTGAGCAAAAATTCTCCTTTGTGAGTTACTGGCATTAAAGTTGTGAGCAGGTGATTCGGCTCCTGCATCAATCAGTTTGCTCTGGAGCCCTCCTTCCTGAGCTAAGACAAAAATGTGTGAGCCGGAGGCTAAAAAACTGTGAGCTAGCTCACACTAACTCAGCTTAGAGGGAACACTGGCCTGGAGATCTTCCAGAATGACAACTGACCTCCAGACTGCAGAGCGGTGTTCCCTCTAAGCTGAGTTAGTGTGAGCTAGCTCACAGTTTTTTAGCCTCCGGCTCACACATTTTCATCTTAGCTCAGGAAGGAGGGCTCCGGAGCAAACTGATTTTATGCAGCAGCCAAATCGCTCCCTCAAAGCTTTGATGCCAGGAGCTCACAGAGTAGAATTTTTGCTCACAAGAGTCCACAGCTTTAGAGGCAGCACTGCGGCACAGATCAGTTCCCCTGGAGGAAATGGCTGGTTCGAGGGGGGGGGGCGCTGTAGGGCATCGTCCCCCCCACTCAGCTCCCTTCCGCCCCAAACTCCATCTTCCCCATGTTCCACCCCCAAATCTCCAGGGATTCCCTAAAATGGAGCTGGGAAAATCCCTACTCACAACAACCCTGTGAGGTAGGTTAGGCTGAGAGACAGTGAGTGGCCCCCAGTTCGCACAGAGATGGGGCTGCAGGTCGCCCCTGGCCCCCTGGATGGGAGTGTACGGTTGCAAGATGCAAGTTGGGAAACTCCTGGGGATTTGGGCGTGGGTCCTGGGGAGGACAAGGGACCTCAATGGGGTACAGTGCCACAGAGTCCACCCTGCCAAGCAGCCCTTTTCTCCGGGGGAACTGATCTCTGTAGTCTGGAGATGAGCTGTAATTGCAGGGGATCCCCAGGTCCCACCTGGAGGCTGGCATCCCTACCGAGGACTCCCATGGCTGAGAGGAGATCTGAATGTGGCTCTCTGTAGCCCTTGTCTGGCACTCTGACCATTGTACCACACTGATGCTCATTTCACCCATGGTGACCTACCTGCAGATCTGGCCACCCTTGT